GCCAGTCACGTCAAGAATCCCTCAAATCCGCCAACATGCCTCCTAAGCAGAAGGTCGCCCGCGCTCCCCAGGAGAACATCCAACTCGGACCCCAGGTCCGCGAGGTTCGTGAATAACAAGCATTGGAAGACGAGAGACGATGAACTGACAGCCGCGCAGGGTGAGCTTGTCTTCGGTGTTGCCCGTATCTTCGCTTCCTTCAACGACACCTTCGTCCACATCACCGATCTTTCTGGCCGCGAAACCATCTCCCGTGTCACTGGTGTAAGTGCAGACATCAGGACTGCATGCGACGTGCACTAACCAGTACAAAAGGGCATGAAGGTCAAGGCCGACCGTGACGAGAGCTCTCCCTACGCCGCCATGTTGGCAGCTCAGGATGTTGCTGCTCGCTGCAAGGGTAAGACAGCCTGGAATCGATAAGCTGGAGCAGAAGCTAACTTGGCTAGAACTCGGTATCACCGCTCTCCACGTCAAGATCCGAGCCACCGGTGGTAACGGCACCAAGACCCCCGGCCCCGGTGCCCAGTCCGCTCTTCGCGCTCTTGCCCGCGCTGGCATGCGCATTGGACGTATCGAGGACGTTACCCCCACCCCATCCGACTCCACCAGAAGGAAGGGTGGTCGCCGTGGTCGTCGTCTCTGAGCATGTGCGCAAGTTTTTTGCTCAGTGGTGGGATATGGCATGGCATGGTATGCACGATTTATGGTTTAATGACCACAATCAAATAAAGTCGCGGGGAACGGCGAATCGCCTGGTCTCCTTGTTGAACTTGGCTTCTCCTGCGAGATAGTCGAGCGAAATCAACAGAATCCTTTTTAGTTCGAAAAGGTTTCCCGACAATGAAGTGCTTACTGCTGTGTTGCTCAAGAGGTTTATACATTACGATTACGACTGCTTTGGGTATACTGTGACGGATCGTGTTAAATGTCGACGACCTGGATGGGATTACCCAACTTCCCTGTATTGCCAATTGTTTGGGCTGCATTGACCATGATTGTGTTGGGACTCTGTCCACCCCACACGCGATCCCACAGAAGCTCTCTTATACCACGGTATGCGACTCTAACAATGTTCCACCACAGCTTCGGATTGAGTAGGCCTCGCGTCCACTTTGACTTTATCGAAAGCCCTCGCACATAGGCATCATGGGCTTTATCCCAGTATACTACAGTTCGCCCAGCTCCCCAGTGCACATGGCCGAAGACATGCAATGTAGGTTTTACTCGTTTGACCTCAGCAAAAAGGTATTCACAGCCAATTCCTGTCGGCAATGATAAGTCCAGATGGAATCTCGGCGGTGTGTGTGTGATCAAGATATCGATATCTTCAGGCACAGTTTCTGACCAGGCGTCTCGACCTCGTTCATACTGAAAAGCATGGATGTCCATTGGTCCGCACGCTGGAATTTGTGGTGCGCCATAGATCCGTATCCGCCTCTGGTTTTGTTCCGCTGCGAGTAGGGGTGTCGATGCATCTGTCTGAACACCGTCCCTAGGGTCGACCCTGATCGTGAGGCTCAACCGCCGGTGCTGCAAGTAGTGCACCCTCTTCCAGTTCAGCTTCCCAGTTCTCTGCTCCTCAGATAGCGAAGACCGGGTCCTTGGATCTAGAAACGTATCGTGGTTTCCACTAACGACGACAATCTCTCTATGCGGCAGTGAACTCAGCCAGTCTATTTGTTTCTGTATCTCCGCCACGCTTCCACCATTTGTCATATCCCCGGCATGGATGAGCAGGTCGCCTTCTGGTACATCTTCCGGTATGTGGTTATGCGTATCGGAAATGCAGACGACCCGAACAGGTGGTTGCTGTAAGGGTTTTGGGGTTGAGCGCAGGTGCGCGAGAAGGTGATACGAATGGTAGAGGAGTAGCTTTACGGGGGCCCGGAATAAAAGCGCGACGAAGGGCGTGGGTTCGAAATCTGATTCGGGGCGATACCAAGGATTGAGATACGCGAGAAGCATTGCCAGAGAGCGGGAGGCCCGTTGTCTGTCAGTGGTGAGCAGATGGGTGACAGCATGCGACGCGCTCATCCGACCAGGGTCCATGTCCAGTGGCTTGCTAGCGTGGCTGTGCGGACCGCAGCTTCCTTCGAGGCACACTCGACTCCCCTACGTCGACGTCAGGCCTGTCTCTCGTGGCACTAGACGAACTCAACAGAACACCGCTCAGCCACGATTGCAGCATTTCTCATGCGTAGCAGAACGCCATCGCGATTCCACCTTGACCGGACTCCACTAGCCCAGACTGTTTGATTAGCCTAGGATTTACAGACGGCCTTCAGCTCGAGACCATGGAGGCAGTGTTGGTCACAAATCAGGCTGCGCGCGCCTGCATGGCAACGTACTATTTGCTCATGTAGCCCTAGCGATATAACTGAAGTATCAGCCTTCTTCCTGCTCGCTCTTGAACCACTTCGCACATTCTGTATTTATCTTGCCGCTTTCTCTTCTTCCCTAGTGAGATCATCCAGGTGTCCTGTTCAAGGGTCTTTTTACACAGAAACCACCTGTCTATCAGGCCAAAACAATGGCTGAGCTAGCGATTGGAGGTGTATCCTTCTTCTTCCAAGTGTTTGCAGGATGCATCCAAGGTCAATACATCTATTCGTTGCACTCAAATGATATCTGACAGATCTCATTAGGTTACGAACTAATCGCTGATGCTTGTAAACTCCGTAAAGACTGTCAAGCTCTTCTGCTTAACTTCAAGGTCGAGGAACATCGACTACTCAACTGGGCAAAGCTTGTACAGCTTGACTATCGAGATGACAAGCTAGTTTTGAACCACATGTCGAAAGGCCTAATCATCAATATCATGGAGCAGCAGCAAAAGCTTCTCTTCTCATTCGGCCGACTAGACAACAGATATGAGAGGCTCACTGATCCTCTCCTGGAGGAAGCAGCTGAAGAGTTCGTGCTGCAAAATTCGGACCGCTTGATCGAGAATGATACCAACGGCTCCAGCGAAAGGCCTGTAAAGCCCGTCCGGTTTCCGCCCACCGAAGAGCTGGTCAAGATGTCTCTCAAGTTTGTGCAACAATTCAAGGATGTGCCCAAGAGACTAAAATGGGCGACTTTCGACCACCAAAAGATGGAAAAGCTTATTGCGAAACTGGCCAACTTCAATGACAAGATGCACGAAGCGCTAGACAAGGCTCAAGTGGACCTTCTCATTGACATGCAGACACGTACCAATGACCAGATAGTCCTGCTGAACAGGACTATGTCGCACATGGTTCAAATCTACCAATCCCAGCAGTTAGAACAGATCAGCTTCCAAAGATCACACTCATTGCTAGAGATGGACAACGCCCAGTACGATGGACTAATTGATGGTGGCGCCGTCATAGCTCGCGGTGCCGCACATCAGCCTCTGGCCGCCCTGGCCCAGCAAAACTTCATTCACCTTGCTATTGAAGACTCCCGCGAAGATCTCACATCAAGCTATGCACGGGAGATCAATATGCCAGATCTCCCGAACGACATCCGCGATACTAAGCTCCACTATGCAGACGTACGACCTAGGCAAGGCACCCAATTTCCTCAAGAAATTGATGAGGGTGTACGTACGGAAGCATACTACAAAAAAACGCCTGTATGGATCGAATGGAAAACTCCTGACACCTCCGGTCCTATGCAGCAAGATGGTGGAGTCGATGCCAAAATCCATGCTCGTGTCAAGAAACTAGCTGCTTTGCTCAGTAAGCACAACAGGACAGTCAGGTTCAGAGCACCCTTCTGCCGCGGCTATTTCATCGACGAAGACGAAGGACGTTTTGGGTTGGTTTTTGAGAAACCTGCATCTGTTCCGATGGATACGGAGCCTACATCTTTACATGCGCTCATTACTACCCCTGAAAATGACATTCCTTCATTGACGGATCGCATCACGCTCATGCGTCTGCTTGTTGAGACAGTCGAACGTCTACATGCAGTTGATTGGCTACATAAGGGTTTGCGATCCGCCAACATCTTACTGTTTCCTAAGAAGGGGGGTAAAGTCCACAACGGCCGGGTCATGGAAGGCGAAATCAATTATGCGGATCCTTTCATCAGTGGCTTTGACTACTCTCGCCCAGCTGCTAGCGACGATATGACCGAACGCCCTCTTGACAATCCTGCCGCAGACATCTACCGCCATCCGTCTGTACAACACAAAGGAAATCGTGAGGACGCCGGCGGTCGAGAGTCTTACAAGAAATCCTTTGATCTTTACTCGCTTGGTATTGTCCTGTTGGAGATTGCTTACTGGAGGCCCATCGACCAGATTGTCTGTATTGACCTCGAGAACGCCCGACCTAAAGATACCTGGGGTGTTAAGAAGAGATTGTTGGAGAAGGAACCACAACATCTTCGTGGTGTGAAAAGTCACCTAGGCAATACAGTAGAAGGTGTGATTACGGCTTGTCTTCAAGGTCCCGTGGCGTTTGACCTCGATGAAGATGCAGACGAGAAGAGGGAAGTTGTCGCTGCACAGTTACAGAGAGCATTTGGGGAGAAGGTCGTGAAGAAAATGGGAAGCATGAAGGGACTATAGATTTTCATTTCGTTCTCGGGTCGGATGTCGGCTTATACCTTGATACAGTCCTTCATTTTCCATACTGTAGCCGCCAACTTAACCATGGCTGTCCTTACCATGATGAGTCTCCAAGGTTCGTGATTTTCGTCGAACTTAATTCATTTTCGCAATGACACATGTGAATATGGAATGCTACAGCTCATGCATTCTATCGGCGATGGCAACTTGAAGCTTAATACTAGATGAACCTCATTGGCGGGGTGAATCACAGTATCAGTCTGGGAGCGCAGTAAAAAGGGTCAGGCCTTAGGGGTTGAGTTTGTCATTGTATCGAAGAGGATCCTTCAATATCGCTATTTCGTCCATCGTCAATCATATCTATATCCATGAGCAGTCACCCATGATGCCATTCATCGCTCCTCAACTGGTTATGCAAATATCCCTAAAGTACAGACAGTCTCGAATCGAAGGCGCTTTACATTCCGTGCTTCTTCAGGTACTCGCCGAGCTCAACTACTGAGTTGAAGGCGTTAGGGGTCTGAATGGTGTCGGGGTGGTGGGCGATAATAACGGCTTGGGTGGTCTTGAAGGCGACAACGCCCTCTTTGCCCTGAAGTTGTTGTCAGTATCTGTATGCTATGTTGTGGACTGTGTCTGGTATGGTACCTTCTTTGCCTTGAGCGAGTCATCGCTTGCCTCGATGGTCATGTATTTTACGCCATTGACCTTGACACCCTCCGAGATGACCTTCTTGGGCTCTGACTTGTCGCCGAAAGACCTGGCGATGGCAGCCCTCTCCTCAGCGGAAAGCTGTACTCCGTCAGCATCAATGCATCGTATATGCGCTACCAGAGCCTCGCATCAGGGACGCTTGCAGCATCTGGCGCGTGTTAAACGGACGACGTACCGAGAAGTCGGCGGATGCGGCCCAGGCAGTTGCGCCCTCGACGTCGCAGATGAGGGCCTTGTCGATGTTGCCGGTGCCGACGAGGCTAGATAAGAGCGTTAGATATGGACGGCTACTCGTTGCGAGGCAAGGCGTACCTGGTGTCAACGTATTCTACGTTCAATGTTAGCCACCACCTTTCCAAGTTGGCGTCTTGAGCTGCTTACCTTGCCAGGACATGTTTGCGAGGGGTTGATGTGCGTGCTGTGGAAGCTTGTAGTGATGAGAAAGTGAAGAGGGGTGCGACGAAGTGATGCAGGTACTTTTGACTAAGCAGAGCAAGAGGGTAAATGCGGTGAGGGTGTTCAAGGCTGCGTTGTTGGGCTAAAGTTGCGATTTGATAGTGGGGCTGTTTTGACCCCGCCTCTCGCGATCAAATCTCACAGACGCTATTCACTCCTCCAATTTCAACATGCAAACCTCTGAGCTTCCAATCTAACAACTCATCACGCGTTTTTTGCGCCATCATGCAGCTGCTTACAGCGTGGGGGTCGATACTGCTCTTGATGCCTAGACGCAAGGGAAGTGAGCGCGCCGCATTTAGCTATGTCCACCGCGATACCCGCCTAGTATCCGCCGCTCTCTGGGGTCGACAACGGATAGCGGGTCAAAGTGCTGGCAATCTAGCAATCGGTCCAACAGTCCAACAGCGGCAGACGTCGAACGAAAAGTCAGAGTCCTTCACACGTCTAATGCGCAGGCTGCCTTTGACCTGTTTGAAGACAATCTTCACATGAGATTGCAGCTACGTAACATCGAGCTCCGCGGGGGGTTTGACACGATAGTAGCTGAGGGCTATGCAACATCCAGGTCTTTACATTGCGTTTTGGTTCACTCTCCAAGTCCAGCTCTTTTCCTTTCAAAAGCGTCGTCACATTTCCATTGTGCTGGCTATTTCTGCTGCTGTTGCGCCGCCGTTCATGGACTTCTTCTGCTCGTCACGTGCTAACGCCAAGACAAGCTTCCAGAAGCTTACAGCTCACTACCCGAAAGTTACGTCGCGTTTGGCGTCCTTGATAGAACAACACCAAATCCAACTGATGAATGCACATTGACGAGCATAGAGCAAATATAAGACACCGTTATAACTGCGCTACTATCCAAAGCATGCCGTCTCGTTCTCCATCTCCCGCACGCTCACGCACGCGCAGCCCTTCTCGCGACAGGTCGCGTACGAGATCACTCACTCGTCCTCGTTCGGCGCATTCAGTATCACCGCGACACTCAGTAACACCACGGTCGCTCACACGTTCCCGTTCAGTCAGTCGGTCGCGGTCGCCTAGATCACCGTCACCAAGGCGCAATGGGCGAAGAAGCTACACACCGGACAGCAGGTCGCGTTCAAGAGGAAGGAGCTATTCCCGTAGTCCAACACCAAGAGATGGGTCGCCAGCACCTAGAAGCGCAAAGGTAAGCAAGTTTATATTGTTAAGTGCAACTCTCGTAGCTTGCTTCTGGTTCAGCCTTCCTCCACCAGCACCTTGCTCATCCTCCAGCAGATCGTAGTAGAAGCCTTGACCAGGAATGTCAAAGAGGATCATGTGCGCGAAATATTTGGCAAGTACGGTACTATTAAAGAACTCAGGATGCCCATGAATCCGACTTGTATGTCTTACCCGGCCTCTTCACAAACGCAGGACTGATTGCCAAATAGTCAACATCAATCGCGGAATAGCCTATATCCTCTACGAAGAGATCGACGACGCCGAACGTGCGATCGCGAAGATGCACGACGCACAATTAGACGGAGCGAGAATTCAAGTTTCGATTGTCCTTCCTCGACGTCGCTTCTCACAGACGCCTCCGCCGGCGCGTAGGGGCCCACCACCGCGCGACGACTACGATGGTAGTTACGGACGCGGTGGAAGAGCGCCCAGAGGTGGAGGGCCGCCTGGCGCATACAGACCACCACCTATGGACGGATCATCGCGTTATCGCTCCCCACCGCGCCGAATGTCGCCTGATCGAGGACACTGGGGTCGAGGAAGAGGTGGAGGCGGCCGTGGTGGACGAGGGGGTTATGGAGGACGACCCCGGTCGTACACACGATCTCGCAGTCGATCACCACGGCGAAGCATGTCGCGGTCTTCTTACAGTCGGTCTCCATCCAGAACACCACCAAGACGAAGCGGGCGAGGAGGCTACGGCAGGCGGGATAGTCTGCCAAGGAGAGGAGGCCGTGGAGGCGGAGGAAGGAGAAGTCCCAGTTATAGCTCCTATGGAAGCGACCGTAGTCGGAGTCGGGACCGCAGATGAGGAATGCGAACCTTTGGCTGCTATCTTTTGGGAAGGCCTGGTGAGATCTGTATGTTCACGTAGGAGAATATTCTTTTAGCCAGGCTACCGGCAATCAAAAATCGAAGGCCCATTTCCCTAACTGGACTGAGTTCATGTTCCCCATATTGAAAATGCCCCCCACGTGTATACACTTCGCTTCGTCTCTTGATTCATCAAGTCATCTTGAGCTGAAACCCAGCTCCCTTCTCTTCCTCCTCTCGCCCTTTGAAGATGCTGCTAAAGTCCAGGTTGCCCTGCATCCCCCCTGGCGCCTCTCCCCTCTTCGGCGCATTAGGACTCTTCTTCCTCCTCCTCTCCTGTCCTGCCTTACTTGGAAATGTCGGAAACATTTCGGTCGGTTTCGGTTTCGGTTGCTCTTTGAAGTAAGGATGTTCCAAGACTTCTTGTGCTGTGGGCCTATGGGCGGGGTTCAAGGATAACAGTGAAGACAGAAGTTCGATACCGGATGCTGTTAGGAAGGGGAACTTTGCCCGGTTGAAGCCTGGGGCATTACGATGGTCGCGTGGTAGTTTCAATGATTTGGAGTTTGGCAGGCGATAAAACTGTGGCCAGGTCTTTTCCGAAGGAAGGCCACAGAGCGAGAAGATGAGGGAAAGCTCGTCGACCTCGTTTTTGCCCTGTAATAGTGGTTCTTTGGCAAGTAACTCGCCGAATACACAACCTACACTCCACATGTCGACTTCGGTCCCGTAGTCTCTTGTGCCTAACAAGAGTTCTGGGGCACGATACCATAGCGTGACGACCAACTGTGTAAGGGGCGCATTCGCAGGTGGGACATATCGCGCCATACCAAAATCAGCGAGCTTGAGCTGTCCGCGGTTGTTAAGTAGAATATTTGATGTTTTCAGGTCCCGATGCATAATGAAGTTCTCGTGCAGAAACCCAACCCCAGAAACCAATTGCCGTAGGAGCGTCTTGACTTCACTCGCCATAAAAGGCTCACTCATATCTTCTTGTAGCGTCTTGAGGTCATGCTCGAAGAATCCCATGACTAGGACGCATTCTTGTGGGTCGTCGCCGGATAAAACTTCCAATAGATCGACAATGTTGGTGTGTTTGCAGCGTTGCAGGATCGAGATTTCTCGTAACGCGGTGATTGGGAAGCCGTCCTGATTGTAGTCCATTTTGACTTTCTTATGGGCTACTACTGAGCCAGTAGTAATGTCGCGCGCTCTTGATACCCAACCATATGAGCCTTCTTCGATCTGGTTGAGGGTCTCGAAGTTAGAAACATGTCGGCACGGACCCCAAAGTCCGCCTTCAAATTGTAAGAGCTGCCTCTCAACTTGCTCCTCTTTTAGCTTCGGGGTTTCCTCATCATCGTTTCCTGTTGATAATCTTCGTCGCTTTGCGGGTCTAGATTCTGCCTCTTGCGCTGCCTGTGCTGCTGCCTCCGCCTCTTGCTGTTTTTGGAGTTTCAGGCGCTTCTTCTCATCTTTTTCTTTCTTTCGACGCGCTTCCTCGGCCTTGTCTGCTTCCTCATTCGCCCACCGTGATGCCATGGCTCTTTCTGTCTCTCTCTCTTGTACTCAATGGAACTTTCGCCTATTCTACTCTAAACTACGTGCTTATTGACGAAGGTTTATGCAGATTCCGAATTTGCTTGTTGGGTTTGTACGAAGAGTTGCTTGGTGTACTCTGATGCAGATGGCGTTGGATCGACGGATAGCACGTGGGAAGCTTTAAGTGATGGTCATAGCTTCGTTCATATTGGCGTTCCGATCTAAACTTTTTGTAGTTCCGAACGCGCCGACGTCATGGAACTTCGGTAACGCATATCGACATGAGGACCAAATCTTTGAATCTACTACGGACGGCGACAAGGTGTGGTGGTTCCGGGCCACGAGTAATCTCGAATCGAACAGCTAAATGCACTTCTCGATGGTCTTCTACTTCTACATCAAATGGTCCGGAACGGCAATGGTCGACGCCGCTTGCGAAGACGCTGGCTGAAGCTATCACGGCATGAGCCCATAATCGATTACAAAGGCATTGCTAACTTTTACTCCAGACAACGGGCCCAATTTCCGTAGCGGCGTATATGCGGCAATGCCTTACTCACCCCGAAGGCGGTTATTACACGAGACAGACGTCAAGCGGACAGGATCAGTTTGGTACAAAAGGCGACTTTGTGACATCACCAGAGATCAGTCAAGTATTTGGCGAGCTGATTGGTATATGGCTGTATGCGGAGTGGCTGGCTCAAGGAAAGAAAGAAAAGGTGCAGATTATTGAGGTTGGTCCAGGTCGAGGAACGTTAATGGACGATGTTCTAAGGGTAAATATATTCGCAAGAGAAGAGGATATAGAGAATACTGACACAGAGATAGACTATATCGAGCTTCAAGGCTTTCACTAGAAGCATCGAAGCCATTTATCTTGTTGAAGCGTCACCTTACTTGCAGAAACAACAAGCAAAGTTGCTTTCCGGCACCGAGGATCTGAAGAAGAGCAGCGTTGGATTGACTGCACAATGCAAATATATGCCAGACTGCAAGATTGAGTGGTGCGAAGACATACGGCTTGTACCAAAAGGTGGGTTCTGAACTCGATTCGCCTGGTTGACACGGGGCTGACAACGTTTGTAGAGCATACGGCAACCCCTTTCATCCTCGCTCACGAGTTCTTCGACGCACTCCCGATCCATGTCTTTCAAAACATTGCGCAGTCCTCAGTGCCTGCCTCGTCGACCATCATCACACCCACCGGTCCCATAAAACCAAAGCATGGAGTAACGACACCCAAGAACACCTGGCATGAGCTGGTAGTATCGCCAACCTCGCCGTATTCCAACTTGAATACAGCTAGTTCTTCGTCGTCAAAGAAAGAAGATGAGAAACTGGACTTTGAACTGACCGTTTCGAAGACACCAACGCCACACTCTTTGTATTTGCCGAAACTGTCTGATCGTTACAAGAAACTGGAGGATACACCCGATGCGATCATTGAGATTTCGCCTGAATCTTTTGCTTACGTATCCGACTTTGCGGTACGGATAGGTGGCGACAATGCGAAGTCTCGCAACGTCTCAGCATCTCAAAACTATTCAGGGAAAAATGCTGTCGAAGAAGAAAGCTTCGTAAAGACACAGCCGTCTGGTGCAGCCTTGATCTTGGACTACGGCCCTTTGGATACTATCCCAGCGAACACTCTCAGGGGCATTCGCTCACATACCACTGTCTCACCTTTTGCGTCACCAGGTCTGGTCGACCTTTCGGCTGATGTGGACTTCCTCGCTCTCGCAGATGCAGCCCTAGATGCCTCTCCTGGGGTTGAGGTTCATGGGCCCGTTGAACAGTCCTTCTTTTTGTCGACAATGGGCATCAAAGAGCGCGCCGATCGCTTACTCAAGGCAGCGAAGGATGAGGATACAAGAAGACGCCTCGAAACAGGCTGGAAGCGTCTGATCGACAGAGGGTCGAATGGCATGGGTAAAACCTACAAAGCCATGGCCATTGTGCCGTACAAGAAACAAGGTCCAGTCCGACGGCCGATTGGGTTTGGTGGTGACATCACTGCCTGAATAACAATATAGAGACCCAAAGGTCAGCTGCATTGATCTTCCAAACCAGCCGTGGTTGGCACTGAAGACGACTTGCGATGCGAAACTTGTAGCCTGAGCCACACTATTCTGCATGTTACGTCTCTCAAACCGGAGCAAATCCCGTCAAGTAAACTCTCACTTGACGACCCTTATACTTCACTTCTCGCAATGTCTTACCGCCATAGATGGTGCTTGATGCCTTCACTGTATATCCCACTTGAGCTTCTAAAAACTAGGATGAGTCGTGAGTTGTAATGGTATAGGTGCATGTGAAAGATACACTGACTTCTCGCATTCACCACACTAAAACGTCTGGGGTATCTTTGGTCAGAAGCACACATTAGTGGGGCATGAAAACAATGCTATTTATTGCTCAATTCACATCATAAGAATGTACAATTGCATCAAATTCCTCATTCCAACCCTATGCCTCTTTCCTCTGAGAGTAGCTGATCGTCTTCATCAGGCTCGGTCTTTTCCCAATCCTCGGTCTCATCTTCCGCGATCTCTTCATCAATTCTGTCGAAATAGCCGTCATCGAACGCGTTGTCTCCGAAAGCAGAGTACATGGACTGTCGCTGTGGTCTTGGAAGCACCATAGCGTCATCTTCGTACTCGGCGAAAGGGTCAGAATCAGGGCGCGTGGCAAGGAGCCTGCGATACTTTTCTACGCGCTCCTCTTGCGTTTCGATGTAATTGTAGATGGGGTTGTCGAGGGGATCCACATAGTTGGCACGAGAGGACGGGCCACCGTTGTAAGAGGCGATTGTACGGGTTGTTGCAACAGACGGGGCGTACAGTTTGGTTGAGGCACACGAGATCATCGAAGGAGCAATGTTGTAGACGGAGTCTGCACGAAGATCATTGTTCGTAGATCTCAATCTCTGCAGAGGCTTACGATCGAGTGGAAGGGGTGGGTGAAGCAGGGCCGGTCTAGGAGCAACGAAACTCATGCTGTCATCAGGCTTCAAGGTGTCGTGTGAGCCATCTGGGCTTCTCGATTCGTGGAACTGTTCTGAAGCGTTCATTGGCGAGTGGACAGATACGGGCGTAGGGTATTCTCTCAAAGCCGGGTGAACATCTTGCTGGTCGCCAGGAATTGTATACGTCCGCTCACGCGTGCTGGGCATTTCAAGCCGGAAACCCAGATCTTCTAATGGCGATAGGCTCTTTGCATCTGGAGGTCGGGGATTGGGACCAAGTTTTTGGTCGAACAGCTTCGGAGTTGCTCTCTGGTTGGGTTGTTGCAGGCTTATAGGACTGCTTGTAGAACGACTAGGAGGGCGCACATGAACAGCCTCAATCGGTTTCTTTGATTTTTGATTCAAAACCAGACCGCATGTCTTCTGCATCCTTTTCCGAGAAGGTAAACGAGGCTGACGGTATTGCTCATGCTTCCACTGGACGCGAAGGCGTTTAAGCTCCAGACCTAGGTCGCCCGCTCTCAGCAATGCAGTATCTCCAATTGTTTTCCGGACCCAATAACGCACAAATCTAAGACGTTTGCTCTTCATGCTATCCCAACCAGCAACGCTGCGGAGGGCGTCCATTGTGGTAAATGCCTTGGTGTTGAAACGGCCAACCATTCCTGCGAACAAGGCAAAAAGGACGTTTTCGTGGGAGCCGATGCGCGCCATTATACAGGCTGAGCATTTGTTTTGCTGGTAGTGCCATCTGGATCCACAATGGATTGGCTCATGATCCGGTGGAGCGGAGGCTTCCACGCTGAAATTGGGTTGCCACATTTGTAACACTGGTTCCAATTGGCGGACTTGATATTTCTGGTCGGCTGTTAGAACACCATCAGACATGATAAGTGGATAGAGAAACTTTCCGATAGCGCCGTCGAGTTCGTGGCGTATCCAGCTCCATATGTCGTTGATTAGGTTTTGATTTAGACCATTGTGTATCGAGCACAGGCTTATAGAACCGAAGGAGAGCCGCGAGGAGCGCAACCGACTGGGAAGACGTCGGATAGCTGTCTTGGTATGTTCACGGTAGAGCACCTCCTTGCGCTCATAATCCTCTTCGGTAGGAGCGGGCACTTTTCTGAGGATCCGGACAAGCCTTTTCATGTCGCTGTTGTAGAGACGACGAGTCTCCATCTTGTGCAGAAACGAACGCATCTTAAAGTGTTGCGATTTGTCTTTGTGGCTGTGATGCATTGTGGGTAAGTTGTAGTGAAGGTTACTGTGATAGATCTACGGCGAGTATGGAAGAAGATAGAGGAGATTAAGAATACCAAAAGGAGCAATTGCAGAAAAACATTGTGAACTCATAATTCACCAATGGTATCAATACATATATTTGACACGTGTGAGTACAATCTGTGAAAGCTGTTAATATATATATACATATATCATGCAACGGCTTGAGTACGAGTCGTACTAGATGGAAATCTAAATAGAACCATACGCACCATGGCCAAAGGTCGGCGTCCACGGGGCGCTGGAATTGAAGACAGTCTCATTGAGACAGAGTTGGTTGTATCAGCTAAGATTGACTGAGTAAAACATTGTGTTGTAAGCCATCCACAGATTCAAAAGTGCGGCATAGAACTAGATTGGAGGCAATAAACAATCTAGTATTGTAGCTGACCAACTCAAATTCAATGCGGTCCAAACCGTCCAGAAAACGCCGTCCCAAATCGTACAGTCCGTGAGCGAATGATGACAGAATAACAGGCCGTATCTCAAGAACAACCAGGGGTAAATGTGAAACTATCGGAACATGCAAGAAAGTGATACAATGCAGCGGACGCATGAAAGCTACCCGGGAGTTATACACCAGAGAACTATACATTACTGTAATCTTGTGATGTTTGTGTAAGTAGGAGAAGAAAATCAGTAACATCAATGCGAGCTTTCTAGCCCTAGAACGTTGGCTCTCCTGCCGTGCAAGTTTTGATTGACCTTGTTCGTTAAGTCTTTGAAGTTCGTGCCCGCTGTCGATGAAATACTGCTAGCCTTCTTTCGTGAAATGCGAGGCGTGGATGCGCCTTGTGGCACCGCACTCTCGTCTTGTGACAGGCTGGAGGCTGTAGCAGTTGGCAGAGGCACTGCGGTAGCTTCATTCTCTTTTTCTTGGTCGACCTTCTGCTGCGCCGTAAGACGAGCACGCTCGTACTTGGCGGCTACATCGCCTTTGTACATTGTTCCACCAATTCGGTCAAGGTAGACGAAAAAGGGTTGCGAGAAGTTGGTCTTGATACCCCAGCTTTGGTGGTGGATATCGTGGTAAGCGGCATTGTTGGGGAAGATCCAGTGGATAGGGTCGTAGGGAAAAGCGTAACCACCGTGATCGAGGACCGTTTTGATGGTAGATCCCGTAAAGAACCACATGGACTGACGCATTGTCAATCCGGTGAGCAGGTAGCTCAAACCAGCACCCAGGGTATCGAGCGCGAATCCTTCGATCGGGTGGTTGTACAGAGCTCCGTAGGCATATGGCACGTAAAGACGGTGGTGGCGTGAGTGGAAAGTTACTATTCATGTTAAAAAAAGGCGTCGAAAGCATTATGTCGGTCAGGCCTTACCATATAACCACTTGTTCAAGTGCATCGCACGGTGCAGCATGTACTCCCACGCGTCCATGATGACAATAGCAGCACTGAACTGGAGGGCAGGTATGGCATACCAGTACGCAAAGCTAGCGACAGCCATCTCCCATGAAGCAAAAGCGGGAACCAGAGTCTGCTCGCCGGCAATTATCGCTGTCTGCAGCAGCGCGGGGTATTTGCCTCCGACAAGAACAGAAGAGAGCATCGGTTGAGAAGTAGCAACCTTGGAGGCTAGCACAATTGGGTTGACGCCTACTGCAGACAAGACGTATGGGACGGCGCGTTGTGCGAGCCTGATCTTTTGCGCGTACCAAGCGACATCGTAGTCAGCTTTGCCAGTCGTGGGCGCGTCGTCGAATAACGACAGACTGAAGGAGGCAATTATTTGGATGATTTGCTGGAGTATAACGTCGCGTAGTACTTCGTATCGTGAAACATGGTTGCGCTTGAGGACCTCAGCTGGCGTGTGCAGGCGGTATTGCGGGAACAGGTCGTAAACATCGATGGTGTGAAAGATCAGAGAGACGACCCAGTAGCCAACAACAGGCAATGCCGCTTGTATGAAGGCGTCGGATGCCCACGATGTGAGCGGTTGGAGAGGTTCGAGGGTGTATTCGGGGAGCGGCGGGAGGGCGTATGATGTTGTGTTTGCGCTCGCCATGATGCGGCAGAGGTGCCCTGGGGGAGGCGATTATCGATTACAGAGTTAACTATGTGAGGGGTAGAAGCAGCGCAGAGTAGCCGGTGACGATGGTGAAGGAAGCAGCTTGCTCGTGGCGGGACCGCAGCGTCAGCTACGGGGTGACAAAGACGGAACAAGGCCGGAAGCCGCGGACCAGGGAAATTAGGGAGAAGGGAGCGATGCAGCGGACGACGGAGGGTCGCTTGAAGTGTTTGGCCAAGGGCGTGCAATTGACCAGTCGGGCTCAGAAAGGAGAGGCTGAGGTGAGCGGAGCGATGTGGAGGTGGAAGTCGTGTGAGAGTGGTGCTGCGTGCCGGTGACAGGAGCAAGGCATGACGGGGGTTTACGATATACGCGCGCATCATGACATTTCGCCGCCGAGCACCCGGGCCGGCCTAGTCGTCGCAAAGCCACCGGCCTGCATTTCTCGCCACCCGCCCTGTGCGCACGGCCAGCCCATGGCTGCTACTGCTTGCGGCTAGCCCGCTTTCACACCCAATTTTCGACCCCACCAAATTCTCTCTCACACCCTTATAGTCCAGCGCTCCCTTTCCGCTCCAGTCTACAACCCCTCGACTGCCAGCCCCGACCAACCTACACTCTTTCCACTCTATCCCATACTCCACACCCACCGCCAAAATGCTCATCTACAAGGTACGCTCTGCCTGCGCTGCATCGCTCTTGCCTGCGCTACTACCCCGCCTTCCCTGCGAGCCTTCACCATGCTTTGCGCATACGAGGATAACACGTTTTCCCCACTAGACGCAGAGTACTGACTTTTTCCCAGGACATCCTCACCGGTGACGAGATTATCTCCGACTCCTACAACCTCAAGGAGATCGACGGCGTCGTCTACGAGGCCGACTGCACCAAGATCACCGTCGGAGGAGAATCATTCGGTGGGTCCCGCCAATGCAGACGGATCAGTCACAGAGCTAACATCGCATAGACACTGGTGCCAATGCTTCTGCTGAGGAGCAAGAGGAGGGTGCCGAGGACAGCGCGGAGACCAAGATCGACGTCGTCTACTCTTTCCGCCTGAACGAGACCGGCTTCGACAAGAAGGGCTACCTTACCTACCTCAAGGGTAAATACGCTAGCAGAAACTACAAGAAGCGCACGACTAACGAGATGCAGGCTACATGAAGGCAGTCAAGGATGGCCTCAAGAAGAAGGGCGCTGACGAGGCCACCATCAAGGACTTCGAGACCAAGGCCTCTGGCTACGCTAAGAAGATCATCAGCAACTTCAAGGACTACGAGTTCTTCACCGGCGAGTCCATGAACCCCGATGGCATGATCGTCCTCCTCAACTACCGCGAGGATGGTGTCACACCCTACGTTACCGTCTGGAAGCACGGTCTCGAGGAGATGAAGGTCTAAGCTTGAAAGAGCTTGGATTTGGGAAGGATGGGGCTTGGTTCACGGTTCATTGAATTTCACGAATACCTATTGCATGTTTGGGAAAATATCCGCCAGAGTGCGAAAAGCGAAATGGCACAAATCTAGACGACCTCATGGAGCCGTATATGACATATGATATTCTTCTCCTATTCACGCTACAGGTTACCATTGTCCACGGCGATAGCTTCAAGAAGCTTAGCGAGGAACATGATGTGTTTTCCGGAGATACTGTGAAATGTTTTTTCTTTCTGGATACTGACTAAGCTCTCGGAAGGCGCTGCATGGATTAGTGGTGGAGTTGTATTCCTCGGTGAATGGTCCCGCCGCGTGACTGCGTGATAACGCGTTGCGTGCACAGACCATTGGTTCCAACGCCCAGCAATCGCTGCCTCAGGCACACATGCAGTATCCCCAGCCTTCCGTAACCTACCCCACCATATCACATTTCCTCCAACCCACATTCGCTCTCTTTTGCTCGCAAGAGTTCATGTCATTGATCTGATCGCATGAATCACGAGGCGTGTTGGAACGCTGTTGCCCTGCGTCATGACGGGTAACGGTGGTCCTGCCGCTTCGCTACCGGGAACTCCGCACCTCCGCCCTGGGGCAGCCATCGACGACCTAATTCGCTCGCTGGAGAAAGAATGGAAGGTTGGCCTGAAGGTTCGTGGCGCTGAATGGTCGCCAAAAAGATCGAATAGGGATGATACTTCAGACAAGATCTGTGCGCTTGTTAAGTTGCTGTTCTTCAGTGCACGGCCAGCCCTGCATCATGCGATCAAGGAATTTGAGAGCCTTGCTCCGAGTCTGACACGCGAAAAGCGTCTTGTGGAACTTCATGAGATTTTGTCCCGTACGAAAAAGTCTCAATCGGTTCCGAATGGCAGGATGCCATACAATGAACCGCCCAAAAGTTCGATGACATCCTCGAGTGGTAGGTACACTTGCTTTTTGCGCCCTCCGAAGTTTCTATGTGCACTTTTACCACGTCGGTAGTGGATGTCTATCTCAATAAATGGGTGCAATTCACAACATATATTCCTCGAATTACTATCTCTTTCTAGCGCGAGTTGTCGTCTTAGCACTCTACCACAAAACCAGTCGCCAAGTAATAGCGTATGCAAACGGGAAAGTATTATGCAAGAGCTAACAAGAGCACAGGAGTAAAGTCATTTCCACAGGCGACAGACCGTTCGCTCGACGTTCAGCAAGATGAGCGTGAATCATATGCGACGGCCATCGATCCAGGGTCACCTACAGACGTTGACACTGATAACGAGACGGACCAAGAATTTGAGACACCACAATCGCCATCGCCATCGCCGTCACCATCACCATCTACTAGGCCAGCACGGACGCTTTATCAGGCAAGTAATCATGTCTCTTTACATACCACCAAGAAAAGGCCTTACAAAAGCTCCGGTCGTTCTGAGAACTCGGCAAAGTTGACCAAAACCTCCAAAGGGAAGCAGACTGTCAAGTCTATCAAATCTTCGCCCATCGCACCGCCACAGTTCGTGAAGCCGACTCTCAACATGGCTCGATCTTTCCAGGCTGCACCTTCAGGCTTATCCTCGGCCAACACATCCTTCAACAACACATCTTTTTCTTCCCAGGAGACAGCAGCTACTACGAATACCTCGTTTACGTCAATCGATGCTGTCGGGGATCTCCAGGAAACGAGCCTGCTCGAGCCTAGATTGACAAAGACAAGTTCGAATGCAGTGGGTTCCTTGGATGATCGCGATCTCTACCAAGCTATTTCGCGTTCAGGAAATGGAGTATTCGAACAAGACATTCAGCGAGATCTCAATGAAGTCTTTCCCCAAGGAAGCAGCGGTCAAAGCCGGTCGACTTTTGGTTCTATCGATGAAGACAGTCTCCTTCAGGCCTCTGTTGAGGTTGAAGACAAGCGGAATAGATCGGAATTGATTCCAAATGAGAGGCAAGGAAACCATCACAGCGATAAGCAAGCCTACACGTCGGCTTCAACACTATTCCCATCCAAAGGAGTGCCAAACTATCAAGGGCAGACATCTCCTGACACGCAATCTCCCTTGAAGATGTCATACGAAGTACGCAATCTCCCCAACCAGAATCTCTTCGTAGGTGAGCTCCCTAAAGCACTAGAGCACATTCCTTACCATATCCTCTTCATCTGTCAACGTCTAGCGATAGAGCACTCCGTCGAAATACAGCACTTGGTCCGTGGCATGGACGTATCTACCGTGTCTTCTGATCCTGAAGCCTTTTGGCGTTTTATCGAGAAAAATAACAGCATTACACGTGTGAAGCTGCGCGAGTCAAGTCGTCTCTGGCCAGCGGCGAAACGCAAATTTGATGGTTATACGTTCAAGGGGCACATCACTTTCAGCCTAAAAGACACTGGCCCCGTTGTCTATCTGACGCTGTTACCGGTACAGGCAGACAAATCGTGCCGATTTGAGCGAATCTTTGGTTCAGACCGCTTTCTCTACCTGCACACACCCAAATTTGATTCTTCCAAGACGCCCCGCTACAACGCTGATCAAGTGCAACAAATTTGCAGTCAATGGCAAGCATGGCTCCTTGCCGAGCATTCCTTCTTGGGCCGTAAATGGAGAGCCTTCCATATTGAAGATTTGAAAAGGAGCAAGAACGCCCGTCGGAAGGATACGGTCCACGAAAAAAGAATTGTACTCTTCGCGACAGAAGGATGTGGCATTAAGCAACCGTGTTCAGTGGGTCGGATGATTCATCAGTTCCTACCGTTTGATACCAACGAGAACCAGGGCTTTTGCAAAGCCTTTGCTCGCATTGAACTCGGGCTTTCTCGAACCATTCCAACATTATGCTTTGATACATCGCAGATCATCCATGTGGATGACGATTTGGCTTCAACTGACCCGGAAGACACACGGTTTAACGATCCAAGACTACACTGGCAGTCGTTTCCTAACAATACGGTCATGAATGACGGATGCTCAACCATCTCTGTGGGTGCCGCATTAGACATATGGCAGCAATACAAGAAAGCTACTGGAGTTTCTGGTCCTTTACCGAGTGCGTTTCAAGGACGTATTGGTGGAGCTAAGGGACTCTGGATGATCAGTGCAGAGTCATTCACCAAGGATCCTCAGCATCTCGAATATTGGATCAAAATCAACAAGAGTCAACAGAAATTCCACCCGCCTGCCGACCAGCCACATCACCACCGAACTTTTGAGGTGTCCAACTACAGTTCCGCGCCGTCACCATCGGAACTCCATATATCGTTCATTCCTATCCTGATTGATAGAGGCATAAAGAAAGAAGCTGTTTCTGGTCTCATGAGAGAGTGCCTCGATACGGAACGCAAGAAGCTGCTAGAATTGCTTCCAGATCCTGTCAAGACGTACGATTGGGTTCACCAGAACGGCGCAAAGACCCGGACTGAACCTTCCTGGCAAGGAGCACTGCCATTGTCTCTAGAGGAAAAGCTAAAGTTTCTACTGGAATCGGGCTTTTTACCTATCAAGTTACCGTATCTTGCTAGAAGCCTCGAGCGCTTCATTCAGACCAAGCAAATATTCCAGGAATCCAAGCTGCGGGTACCGCTTGCAAAATCGGCCTTCTTGTATGGTGTAGCGGATCCTCTCGGGGTTTTGGAGCCAGGAGAAATCCAGGTGCAATTCTCATCCTCATTCGTCGACGAGAAGACGGACGAGAAGTACCTCTGTCTTAGGGATATGGAAGCTTTAGTCGCTCGTCAGCCTGCTTGTCGCCGCTCAGACATCCAGAAAGTGCGCACAACCATACGCCCTGAACTATCACATTTAGTAGATGTAGTGGTCTTTCCGTGTAAGGGCCGTTACCCACTAGCCGGAAAACTTCAAGGCGGTGATTACGATGGTGATATATTCTGGATATGCTGGGAAACCACACTTGTGCAGCCATTTCTGAATGCGCCAGCGCCAGTACAGCCCCCTGATCCTGCAAAGTATGGCATACAAACACGAAGTGAAAGGCTCAAGGATATTATGGATACCGGCAACCCGGAAACAGTGGACAAATTTCTCTGCAAAGCATTCGAATTCCGCAATAATCCTTCTCTACTTGGTCACGTCACCACATTTGCAGACAAGCAAGCCTACAGCGAAAATCGCATATATTCACCAAAGCTTGAGCAGCTGTATGATATGCACGACTTGCTAGTCGATGCTTCCAAACAAGGCTATGTTTTTACACAGGCGGACTTCAAGCGGTGGGTACGCCGACTACCAAAACAACCAAAGCAGCCGGTTTACAAGGCCGCGATGGAGGATTGCTTCAATATCAAAGACTCCACAGAAGTCGAGAAATCCCGGAAGAAGCCATACCGATACGACTCCAAGCATGCGATTGACTACATCTACTTCGACGTTGTAAGAGCGCACAATATTGAGACAATGGTGCAGCTCAAATCCGTCTTCTTGAAAGCTATCCAACTGGATGAGGCATTGCTTTATCCGAGTAAGCACCTTAGTGAGAACAGATCGAAGACGATCGACAAGGAACTTTTGTCTCTGGCTGGCAAGCTGAGAGAAGTGAAAAATACTTGGAACGCTGGGGTCCACAGTAATATGAGCACAAACGACCACTTCAACACTCTCGTGAACACCTGTTACGAACGGTACCAGGCTATACGGCCTGACGATCCTGGTAAGCTCTCCCGTACATGGATTATGTGTGAAACGTACACTGACTTTGTACGTCGATTTCTTAGGCCATCCCGATATTCGACCTCTTATGGATGAGTATCTTACGCCTGGAGCATGTCTGTGGGATACCATCAAAGCATCGGTACTGTATAACACGTTTCAACGGCCTGAACAATCCACGTTCGTTTTCACTATGGCAGGACGCGAGCTTGGGAGACTAAAGGCAAATAGCTCTGAGTACTCCAGGGCTATAGTATCATCCATCCGTGCTAATATGAAGCCGAAACCTATCAAGGCGCCAGTTGAGCACGACGAGGAAGATGAGGAAGACGACTTTGAGGCCGCGCTCGAGGAGCCTATCCGGTAGCGACTTCCAAGACATTTGACAGCGTGGACGGTTGGAGAGGATATGTAGAGATCTGTTCCATCTCGTTCTTTGGCTTCATCTTCTGTGGTCGTATCTACGCACCATGACATTGTATATTTGCTTCTTGCTGTCGTATCCGCGCTGCAGTATACCCATTTGCGCTTTCGCTTCCCATTAATTGTCAGCACGAAATGATAACCATACAATGATTACGCGAAGTTTCATGTGCCAATAAGAGTCCGATCGCCTCGTTCCAGCAGGCACACGTAGCCGCAGAGCAAAAGAAGTCATGACAGGGGAGCAGGAAAGAACACATCCCTGTAAAGCGACATGTGGGTATCATTAGAAAGCATCTACACCTCTCCAGAACATTACGAGCGCTACAGCTCAGCCTGCCGTGGGCGCAGCGGCCGCAGCCTTAATCTTCAAGTTCCTCCTCTCCTCCTCTCTCCGTGCCTCAACACCAGCCAAGAATTCCATACGACCCAGGTAAGCTTCTTTGGTCTTTCCATGTGTATCCAGTTCCTCTGCGATGCCTTCCTTGTCCACAAAACCTGTCCAATCCATGCGCGATTTGTCCACAACATTAAGCTTTTGCGCTTTCTCTGCCTTCTTCGTGATCGGGACGTCGGCTTCCGGAACGAGTTCTTGATCGGGCTGTAAGGTGGTGGATGTACGGGGCCAGGAGAGCTGATGTTCGGGTGCGAGAGCGCGGACATAGCCTGTGGGGTTAGGATCGAATCGTGAAGGGCGGCGGACAGGACGACGGAGCTTGGGTCCGGTAGATTCGGAGGCAACTTTAGGGGATTCTGCTGCAGGCGTGGTTGCAGCGGGTGCATCGAGTGTCTTCCAACCATCTTTGAGGTACTTGTCAAGTTGCGAGCGTGGTATCTGCTTCTCCTCGGTAGTATCCTGCCCAGCGAATGTGAAGATCTTCTTGATCGTCAGCTGTTCTTCTTCCTCCGCCGATACTGGAATGTTGACTACGGGTGCATGATGCTGTGGCGCGGCCGCTTCCTGCGGTTTGGTGGATTCCAGAGGCTTCAAAGGCGCTGCTGTCATCTGAGCCCATAGCGCGTCGACATCAACAGTTGCGCCCTCAGTTCTTGCAAGCGGTCTCCTCTCCTTGCCCTCGACTCTCCGTTGGGCCCGAGTTTTGATAAGTCCACCCTCCCCGCCTTCATCATCCGATATGATCAGCCCGTCTTCGTTGCTGCCTTTCTTGCCCTTCTTCTTCGCCCGCTTCTTCCGCGCAGCTTGTATTGTCACCTCATCTCCAGAGTCGAGGTCTTGATCGGCCGGTGCATTCCGCTTGCCCTTGCGCTGTGTGGGTTCTATAGTGACATGGTCTTCGTCTTCGGAGCTGGATGCCTCTTCAGCTGGGGCAGCGTCGGGGTTGAAGTCTTCATCGGACGATTCATGGTACTTGTCGTCGGCATTATCGAGGTCTTCGTCTCCATAGGTATGTGGCATGATAAAGCGGGTATCGTGTTGGAGGCTCGAGTTCGCGTCGCGCAAGCCAAAACGGAGATGCGCCAGATCGACGGCCAATACGGGAAGAGCCTAGCGTGGAACAAGGGTAAGCTCCAGAACTACGTCAGTGACGTTCATAGGTGGGCGGCGGGGAGGCAGGCGCGTTCCAGATGAAAACAAGCCAGCCATGCTTCCAGCTGGGCTGACTTGCTTCCGTCTTATACCAAATCCCTTCGTTGCTGTCGCGTAATGCGCATCTATCCCTATCTTTGATCGCATCACCCAGCCGACACCATGGCGCCAGTCGACACCGTCGCATCCGCGCGCAGCAACTCGCTCCCCATCGCCCTTTTCGGCGGCCAAGTACTCCTCGTCACGGTGCTCACAGCTCGTGTGCTTCTCACTACTCGACGCGCCGCCAAATCGCAGCCGCCGTCAACACGCACGCGTTCACAAGACTCCGCTCGCCGTCGTCATGCCGTTACCTTCTCTATCATTGCGCTCCTCTCACTGCTCTCGGTAGGAAGCTTCGCCTTCCTCTGGCGCGCCATCTCGTACGTTCGGTGGGCTGGAGAGAATAAACATGACATTCCAGGCAGCCTGTGGAGCGGCTGGTATGGCACTGGAGCGGAAGGACGCTGGTACCTGGCCGACTGGATCGCCGACATAGATCTTGTGCGCGAATTCGACAAGGTCGGAATCATGAAGCCTGAAGGATTCCTCTACACCAGCCAGTATTTTGTTGGACTGATTGCAAGCTCCATCTTCATGGGCGCCGAGGGTATGTTAGCACCGTCATTGCAGCCCCAAGTACCTCCACTGACTTCTGTTCTAAAGGTCGCAGACGCAATCTTTCCAACACGACAATCGCCTCGTTTGTGCTACTGAGTTCAATCGGGAGTTTAGGATATGCCTTGAGCTTGTTCTTCATCACAATTCTGTACACGCCTTTGACTATACACCGCGATGATACTCCACTACACGATGCGCTGTTCACCCCATATGCCTTCGTATACGACACTGGCATTGTTGCGTCGCTCATCACACTTAATCTCTTCCCCCAACTCGTTTCCGAGTTCGGCGACAAGAGCATGATGCGACTGGGTTATCTGACCATGCCTCTGGCCTTTGCTTTTGCCCCGCAACTGGTCCCTTACGCTCTGGGCCACCAGCATACGTCCAAGGCAGCGGCTCATAGATCATACGCCAAAGTCTTCCACGCGCTGTCAATAGCCTCTATTCTCGTATACTGGCGCGTATGGACCACTCTGATCTATGTCAACAGACCCGCCCAGCGCTCTCATGTTTGGGATCTCTTCTCCAACTCTATCGGCAACAGCGATTCGGCAAATACGAACAGGCTTCTCACCAGCATCAGCAACGCTGGCCAGGCTCTAAAGCATATCAGTATGCACCCAGCTATCAGTGTCACGAGCCTTGATGTTCTCTTCGCAGCCATCAGCTTGCTGACGTGGACCTTCACCCGCGATTTAGATGTGCATGCTATCTTGGAAAGTAGCATACTGTCTTTCCTTGTTCCGACTCACGAGAAACATGTTAGCTTCAAGCAAGACCTGGCCAGAGTTATGGAGCACGCAAGCGAGCCCTCGTCACCTGTAGAACCCACAACACCGAGAAAACCGGGACGTCCCGCTAAGAATTTGGCTGTCAACGGTACATCTAGTGCAACCCATTCAGGACCGACAGGTGCACCTCTGCGGCGCAGCACAAGGGGGAAAGCGCGTATCTCGGATGCGGATTCAGACGCAGGCTCGTTCGCTGGTGATCCTGATGCTACCTACCAACCATCCGAGAAGACCAAGCGAGCGGTGCAGGAAATGGAATCGGACGGCTCTGCGCCTGAGGGGGATCTAGTTCACGCTGGCGAGTCAACTGCACTAGCTCTGTTTCTTGCCTTCTTCGGCGGACTGGGTCAGTTAGCTGCGGGCACTCTAGGTGCCGAGGTGACAGGCCCGCGGGACTGAAATAGTCGACGTACTTGGTATAATCCGATCGGAAATGAGGGATGCCATTTTACTTGTTGAAATGAAGATCATATTCAGGTAGACCTACAGGCTTCTGGTGTACGGAGATGTGGAGAACGGAAATAATGGCTTTGGATCTTTGCGTTCGTATTCCCAGGTTGGATTTTAGGTGTGGGTGTATGAAGTCAGCATGTCTCACATGCACTTCGCCCAGCAACACATAGGGCCGGAGCGTCGGGTAGTTTTTGATATTGCTTTTGGTATTCTAATGATGTATGAACATAGCGAGAAGCGTCGTGCACAATACATGAGTTGATGAGCAAGTTTAGGAACACACGTATATTGATGTCTCGTTGAGATTACTCGTACATATCTATCTGCTTCATCAGATGCTAAAGGGGATGCGACGCTGGTATCAATGACGCTGGGGAGCGTTCCTGGAACGTCGTGTAACCTTGCTGCTGCGGATAGCTATCCGCGAAAACGCATCCTTGCCTGCCATGCGGTAATATCGTTAGCGTTGACTCGAGTAGGGTTGGGCTGACAGAGTTTGATTTTGCATAATACGAATGGGGCAACTACTCCAAGCCACTGACTACAAGGGCATTCACTCTTTATCGTAGTTGGGCTGGTGTTGGAAAGCTGAGAACGAGGATGTGATGGTGCCTGAAGATCTTCCTGTGTTAAGCGAACGTAGACTGCACGCGACCAACCGTCCCTTGCGATGACACTATCCGTCTTCTACGACGTTCCCAGATGCTTCAGCATCGTACTACTACAGCTATCTATTAGCAGCACTGACTTATCTCCGACCCGGCCTCGATTCGTGTTGCAGTGACGCTCTGGTGCCCGACGACTGGGCGCCCGCGGACTGTCATCCTTGCCGACCCGGCTTCTTCGGCTTCTGGTTATCAACAAAGGACATTTGCGAAGAGAGAATCAGCAGGACGGGGACCCTAGCAGAGGGTGATGCAAGTGTTCTTGGAAGAGACATAGTAATCCCGAGTGTCTGGCTGAAGTGGTGGGTTGAGTTGGGCGCCGGCTCATTAGCAAGGACAGCGGTTCTGGGGCAGTGGCAGGCTCGGGCCTAAAGACCATCACCACCGTGCGCAACGCAAAGACGCTACACTACCACTGAACAACCATGGAGGTAAGCCCAGATTCCTTCTTTTACTCCTTTGCTTTCCCCACGTGTATCGTCGTCTTCCCCTTCCGGTTAGGTTTCTTGCGAGGCCGCGGGTTGCGTTGCGACTTCCTCAGCCCTATGTACGTCTGCACCATGGCCTGAGCTCCCCTTGGTGCCTTCCGCTCAGTCTCGACTGCCTTGCGCGTATCACCGTCTGCTCTTGTAGAACGTCTCGGGGGCTCCTGATTGACCCGTCACTTCTTCGCCAGCTCCCCTTCTCATGTACCGCCCGTCCTCGTGGCCTCTCCCTGCTGGTGTTGTACCACACGTCGTCGCAGCGTGCCTGTCATCTCCCCACGAGAGTACCACGCTTCACTGCGCAGATGCCGGTCAGGTGAAGTGAAATAGGAAGGGCC